AAGAAGAATTTCTAAATAGTATTAGTGATTTATGGCCAAAAGTCCTAAAAATTTTAAACTCCTTGAACTTTCATTATCGAAGGTGAGAATGAAAACTTCAAAATTAATTTTTTTATTACATTTTGTAAAACAATAAGAGGTAAAAATTCAAATTTAAAGAAAAATCTTAAAGTCGTGTTCGCGATTTATAACCAAAAATATCAAAAATATTCCCTACGTTTGAAAATTAAACTGAATAGAAATAACGTTTGACGTGAATTCATTGAGTTTTGTACAGTTTTTCTTGATCAAATTTCTCCGAGCTGTCTCGTGCGTTCCTCCATAAAACTGTCGCTTTTCTTCACCGGTAGTCTCCCAGAGCAAAGTGCAAATGCCGTCTGAATTATTTTCCAAGAAGTTTCCGCGTCGCGGCGACCGGTAAATCGTTAATGCTTTATCGCGATGCATCGCGCGGCAATGCGAATCGGGGTAGTTTGACGTTCGCTTGTTCGACGCAACCCCGAATTTTGAGCGAAACGTCGCGTCGGGTAAATTCGTCTTGTCGCGGCGCATTTCTCGAATAAACTTTTCAAGAACGGTAAGATGCTCCGCGAATTACACGCGATAACAAAACTTAAGAATTCATGGATAAGAACTCTTCACTTCCGAACGCGGCAAATGAACATGGATTGGATTTTGAAAATTTCGACGACGGTATTAAACTGTAATCACTAATAAGGCAAGCAACGTAATTAAAAGAGATTATATAATTCCTCGAGTTAATTATTACGTTACTTAAATGTCAATTTAAAGTGCCGTTGACACGTCGTTCCTGTAATTTTTCAGAATCTTTCTTTTGCAGATTTAAGAATAGCAGAATCCGCGACGGAGAGACTGATTTTTATTTTCATATCGCGCGACAATCGATTCTCGATAATTTGCAATAATTTGGCAGAATCGACAACACGAGCAATCATTTCTTCTCTCCCTTTCTCTCGCTTGCTCTCTCTCCCTCTCTTTTTCTCTCTGTCTCTTTTATTCTAATTTGTTGGCAATTTCCGATCGTATTCACTCGTGTCCTCCAAATATATGATCTTCGATTACGGCGTTAAAGTGAAATTACGCGCGATACAACGACAGATATGAATATTATACGACTAACAAAATGAGATAATTTGATCGCATTTCATTCACGTCAATAATTTGTCAGCAATTTGGCCGCCTCATTCTTAGTTACAAATTATTCGTTAGAAAGTTATACATGATCCAATTAAAGAATTTTACAAATATTTACAGAACAAAGAATAAGAATTACAAACATTTTTTACAGAACTTTCCCTCTGAATTGATATTTAATTTAAATTTCATTATAATAATATAAAAACAGATTACAGCATTGTGATTAATATAAATAAAAATAAATTAGATAACCGTTTTAAAGAAGAGCGAAAGAAATATGTTTTTTACCCAATATTACAAGTAATTTCAATATAAATTGACTCAGAAATAATCTTGAAGAAGAAACATTCACATCCCGTATAGCTTCAGTTTCCAAATTTTCGTAATAGACTCGTATTAGGTCCTAATTTGTCATCGTCAGATAAATAAATCGTCTCGATTACCGAAAGAGGCGCACAAAGTGCCTCATGGCTCTTACAAGTCGATCTCCTCTATTTCTCTCTCTCTCTCTCTTCCCCTTCCCCTCTTTCGCTCAGTCTCTTTCTCTTTGTTTTCCGCTCCTAAAGCTCCGGGCAATAATGAACGCGTCAATTTTCCATCTCGTCCCATCCGCCCTTACTGCTTTCGTGCCCACCCCCCTCGCCATCCCCCTCCTCCTCCACGCCGAAGCTGTCCCTATTTTCCTCGTGCAATTTTTTTCCTTCCAGCTCGCTCCTTTCACCCGTTATCGGTCGCTTGCTAATGGCACGCGATTGCCTTTCGCGTTTATCCGGAACGGCGTTCCCGCGTCCGATGGACTTGCGGACTGCCGCCCCATATCCGCGACCTTTGCCCTTCTCGATCGTGTCGACGACACGCGCGGAACTCATCCTGACGTTTCATTTCTCGCGACGGGGATCGACATTCAGTTCCCAACCCCGCTTCCGCGAACCGGTTCGTTCAGCCACGTAGCGAAATTAGTCTTTCACGAGCGGCAGCAAAGGAAGGAGATTTTTTTGCACGTTTCTCTTATTTTCCCCCCACGACGGCCTCTCTATTTTCCATTAGTCTCGCATACAGCTTCCATATTCGAGAGCACTTAAACTTTGCCCGACCCTGTCGTCCCCAGAGTATCGTACTTTTTTTTTTTAAATAAATATCAGTATGATTTATTTATTCGAACTGAAAAAGAGAAAGAAAGGAAAAGAGCGTATATGTACGTGTCGTCTCGAACGAAACCGTCGCGTCCGACGAAGGGGTTAAATCTCTCCGAATCATCTCGGAGGGTTTTAAAAATTCAATAAAAGGCTCGGACGAGCAAATGGATCTTAAATATAACATCCCTCCAATTCAAACGTGTCCCCATCGATATCCCGGGGAGGCGGAAAATGGACGACGCGGAGATAAAGCGGCGAAACTGTCTGGCTCTGTCTCTTTCTTTCTCTCTCTCTCTTTTAAATTTACATAATTGAAAAGGAGGAGAGGACGCGACGCGCAACGCGAAAAGTCGCGAGACGATCATTTCCAATTTCGAACTAATTTTACGGTCAAATTGAAAACGACGCAATCGTTATTATTATTATAACCGAGAACACCGCTTATCGATCGGTAAGGGCCATTAAACTCGAAACGACAAAATATAGTTATTTCATAGATGAATGGAGGACTATTACGTTCGAATGGCTATTAACAATTTGGCGTGGCCTGGTGATCAATTATTATGTATTCATTTCTGTGTGCACGTACGCGCGCGCGCGCGTGTGTGTGTGTGTGTAGTGTGTGTGTGTGTGCCTGTGTGAGTGCACGTGCACGATATAATTTAGGACCGTTGGAACTTTTTTCCCCCCACTAGCCTCTAACGCAAAGTCAACGATTCCCCTGCCGTACTTACGAATTAATAGGAGCCGTCAGCTCTTAATTTAATTATAACGCATGCCGCGCTCGAGTGGCGCGCGGGAAGAATTGAGAATGCGCGCAAGAAGCGTGAATAATATTAGTTGTCGCCGATATCGGACTATATTTGTACGCATCGTTAAGGACCAACCGGTTGAATAACCCAGATCTGCTTAATTCCGACGCTGATGTATGCTATAACGAGCCGCGCGCGCGCGGGTGACATGGACCGTCGGGATTTTTCGTATCTCTTTCTCGCGAACGTGAACACATACATATGTATAACGAATACATACGTTATACTCGCACCGCGTGATCGTTGACGGATGAAAATTTGATTCACGACCGACTAATCAAGTCGCTTACTCGGCACACACCGACACGTCATTCAGACCACGTTAAAACGTCACGGTGATACATGTATATGTATATTTATGTATCTAGATATATATATATATATACACACCTTTCTTTTGCTCAGTAACAATGGAACAACATTTACTATTCTGCTCTCATACAGAAAGACAAACACGAAACTCGCTCCACGGACTATCCTTTCTCCACACCGTTCCTCTTTGTGGTCGCTCGAGATCCTCGGATGCTCTCGCGGACTCATGGAATCGAATTCTCAACGAAGACGTGTTCCCGAGTCCTCGAATTCACAGATCCTAGGAACGCCGCGGACCATCTTTGCGAGGGCCTAAGCACAAAGATGAGCGTAATTGAGTCATGAAACGTAAGTCATGGTTGTAGATTGACAAAAATTGAGCGTTGATCTACGATTACGACTCAGTTACGGTCATCATTGTGCTGAGGCTCAGTCCGCTGATCGCGGAAGAATCCGGGACTCCCCGTAAAGTCTCACCACGCGTTGCGAATGTGGATCACGGATCGTGAAAAACAGAGATTCATCTGTTCTGCGATTGGCAAACTGAATACTTGGCTGCTTCAAACTGATCGAGTTGTGATCAACGATTCATAGTTCATAATCCTATAGAATTCTAAATAATTAAAGATTTGACATTGCGTTGATTAGGTTAGTTCGCCGCCGCCATTTTAGTTTCTCATGGGTACCCATACGTGCTGATTGGCTGTCTAAATCACGTGATCACAGCGCCATTTTAATTTCTTACTAAAATGGAGCGTAGTTAAAGTCTCACTACAAAGCACTTTGCTTTGAAGCACTTGATTGACCAATGAGAAGAAGAAATTTTACTAATGGCTAATCAAAAATGCTTCAAAGCATTTACAGCATTAGCTTGACCGTATTCTATGATAGCCAATCAGACCATACCCTTCTATGATGAATCTCTGATTATCTAGGACTCTACACAATCGGAATTCAATTTGCGTCCGCAATGCGTGATGTGACACGAGCTTTAAAACCCATGTAACACTACGCATTAGAGATCGAGGATTGTAAATTGGAAATCAGAATTCAGCCAATCAGAACGAAACGGATTAAAATGATCCGACTAGTCGAGTTCTAATCTCCAATGTCCTCAATCTCCAATGTGTAATACGACACGGACTTAGGCTCTTTCGGAGGAATCGCGGATTAAAAGGGATCCACGGATTCTTACGCCAGCATCCCGCTCCTCTCTTTGTCACCTTCATACGAAAGAGAGAATGCGCATCTTTATGACACACTTGCATCCGCCCCCTGCCCTATTCGTATCCCCTTAGTGATATGTATGATTTATTACCAGTCAGCCAGTAGCTCTAAGTTTGAAATTCGTGTATGCAACTCAGTTCCTTCCTATAATGACTTGTGTACATGCTACGTTACGTACCTATTTACCCTTATTAATGTATATCTGTCTTGAGCGCGAAAACGAGGCGAGAGAAAAGATAACAACGACCTATAAAAAAAAAAAGAAAGAAAAAAATACAAAAAAAAAGAGAAAAAGGTCGTGCGACATTTAGCCTGTTCCTACTGACTAACATCGGTCTTTTTTTTCTGCTTTCAGCTGCACAGATTCCACAACGCGGAAGTAAGTACGATTAAATTACGTTTGAAAAACCACAACTGCTCTCTCAACCACCCTCCCTCCCTCCCATTCCCATCCCGCGCTACATCCTGTTCGCAAACGCTTGCACCTCTTCTCTGTAATTGCGATTATCGTCGTAAGACCGTTTATCGTAGTGTAGAAGCGAGGATGTGGAACTATGCGGAAAATGTCACGGCACGCCAGTGTCGGGGTCTTTCTGTTTCATGAATGGAAACGAAAATGCGAATTGAAGGACTTGATTAAGCGGTCGGTGCGATGCGAGAATCCCACCCTCCCGAGTCGGGACTCATTCCCGAGTTGCTTCGGACCGTATAGATAGATCATATCTCGATAATGGCACTTGATTTTGGTTAGAGTAAATTTTCACAGATCTTATAGAGTCACGAGTACAATTAACAATGTCAAGAAACGCATAAATCTGTAATTATCAAATATCATTTCTCTCATAATTTTTCATCTCTCGAGTTTCAGGGGATCTTCATAACTTAAAATGTAGAATATTTGATCCTACTGTTAATAATTTTTGGGCTCCTGAAATTTCTGAATTTTTCATGAAACTTACATTTCTCGGAATGATTGTTAGATATTATGATTCTAGAAGCCTCGAATCAGAAACTAATCGATTTTCGTCTGGCAACAAAAAGTCTAAGGATCGGTTTGACTATTTCCGATTAACTTGATCGATCGATTAAAAATTGCCAACTGTAAAACTTAAAATTGATCGTATTATTTTGTTTTTCTCCATTTTTTGCGAATTATAATTTATGCAAAATACAATATTATGAATTAAGTAATACGTTTAATTAAAATAATTAAAGAATTAAGTAAGGGATGATTAGTTTTAAGTTTTGCAATTACCACCAAAAAGATCGAAATTAAAGCGCTATTATCGAGATTTCACCCAGCGATTATCAATCTTCTCTACAAACTTAATCAGAAACCTCCAAATATATGTACATCTTCATTCCCAGTTGCATGTCGTATTTACGTAAACAGGGAACACACGCGTAAATCGCACCGTTCTCTCTCTATCTCTCTTTCTTCTCCGTCTCTGTATCTATCTCTCTCTCATGAATTCCTCTAATTTCAGCATGCAAGAGGAAAGACGAGATGGCGAACCAGGCAGAACACCAACAGCCCGCCCCCAAGAAACCGCGGCTGGTTTTCACAGACCTTCAGCGCCGTACTCTACAGGCTATTTTTAAAGTGAGTACCGCGCGCGCGCGCGCACACACACACATATACTAACACACAACACGTAACTTCTTACCCCTTGTAATCGATAGTAATTGCTCTGTTCTTCTCTGCCCCCTCCGGCGATATGCACAGGCAATTGAATATTGAGAGAGCGCTACCGCCGCTGACTGATCCGCTGCTTGTTAGCGGGGACTAACTTTCGCGGTCGAAAGCGTATATAATATATACGCGAGTTCGAACTTGCACTCATCGCATTCGACTCGCGAGAACACCTGTGTCCCTTCCTGGATCGATAGAGGTTTTCTTAAAACGTAGTCTCTACACGAGGCACTCCTCCTCCATCCCTCGCGCCAAGTAAACCACGACATAGGAAACAGATGGTACACGCAATCGCGAAGTTACGTAAGAACCCCGACGAGGGCTTCTAAATACCGAATGCTAACAGTTTCGTGGGGAGAGTAACCCTTTTCCGAATAATGACTATTTACTCGCGGAGATCGCGACGAGGGAGCGTCGTCGGCGCGTTTAATCCCGGTTTCCACCCCCCGCGGGATGCTGTTGGTTCCGAGGGTAAACAGAGAAATAAATTTTACGCGTCTTGTGCGCGCGGCCTATTATTCCTAATTTGGACTACAGTCCAAAATGTTCTCTCCAAGGAAAATTTTACTTGAGATATATATACACGTAATGTGTACTATCACGGGAAGAAAGATTTGTTAAAACAATTAAAAACTTCACTGATTAAGTAAATCTACGATCGTACAGGGTTATCACTAATTTCTCATCCAAAAGTTCATGATTTTCCTTGACTTTCAATGATATTTTGAAATTTTTTGTATTTTCGTCGTGATTTGGAAACCGTTAAATATTTTGTTGAGAGATCAATTCAACATAGCAATGTAAATTTTTGTTAATATTGCCGACACTGCTTACATTTTTAATTGTTAAGTTGGTAGTTTGTTTCCGAAACTGCGTAAGTGTAATGTACGTATATTAAATTTTTTTTGAAACCAAGAATTTTGATTTTTCAGAAAATTTTGCAAAATTCCCTAACTGTTTACAATTTCCCTGACCATTCTTTACTTTCTTGACATTTCACTGATTTCCAGTTTTGTGACAATCCTGCCCATAATATAGTAGTTTTCTATGTTAAAATAGAAAAATCACAAAATTGTGAATGAATTATAATTAATTAAAGCGATTATAAATAATCATATTAGTTATAATAGCACAATAAATTTGTTAATACAGCATAGATAACTTTCTATTGTGCAAGTCAATCCAATACGTAGATCAAAATTTTTAACAAACATACTAGCTAAGATGTGTACCTACTTTTGTTGCTGCAATGAAGAAATCTTGTTACATAAGCAATTTTCATTGTAGTGAAAAATTAGCTGAATTAGCGCACTAATATCTTACAGAAATAAATAATTTCTTCGTTGAACCATCGAATCTTCTTAGTTACAGATTGAATTCGCGCAGCATGCTATGGCTTTGCTAAACTATCCAATATACTTTTTTTCCCGTGTATATACTATAATATATCGAGTAAAATTTTCTTTGAAGAGGACGTTTTAGAGTGTATCTTTGAACGGTAAGGAAACGGGGAAATCGTTTGGTCTCGGGGTTTCCCCGCGACGGAAAAACACTGTCTCCGCTGCCATGCCGTTCGGATACCTGAAATTCAGTTGCGCTGCGTCAACCGACCGCGCGCGTTCTCTCCGTTTATCGATCGGTCTTGAATAATTTCGCGGCCGGTTCTTTACTTATGCGCTCCGTATTTCAGCCCCTCTGATTGCAACGCCGCGCTGCTTGGCGGTCGCCGTCGCCGTCAAGAATGGCCATTGATATTAACTGTTTCCTCATTAGCGTCATGGGCGGGAAAAAAATAGCGATCAAAAACGCACGTTTTCGATCATCTCGAGCTCGTGTTTCCTCTAATCGCATCGGTGCGACGATAACAACTGGAGTTCTTCAAGTTCGAATATCGTTTGGACAATTTCTTATTCATCCGCCATCTGTTTCAGGCTTACTACGAAGAAATTTATATTTTGATTTATTATTTATTTTAGAGTCTCACTTATTATTGTAATAATAATATTTATGTGTATAATAATATTAGGTTTATTTTTGGATTAATAAATTGCAGATTTTTAACTGATTCAAATATTATTAAAAGCTTACTATAGTTAGCTGAAAATCCTGAAAATATTGGAGTGTCCAAACTTAGAGTTCTTTAGATAAGAAGAATACCGTTTAGATAATTTTTAATTGATTCATTTGTTTCAGAATTGCTACGAAGAAATTTGGATTTATTATTATTTTGCTAATATTTATTTTACAGACTTATTATAATGATAATAATAGTATTTTTACATGTTACACTCCAAGAAAAGAAACAAAGAAGGAACAAAAGGAAGATAAAAATATAAAATCGTTCAGGAGAGGGAAAAAATTTATTTTAATATTAATTATTATTACGGCAGTAATATTAAACAGTTAATTTACTGTTAGATAATCACACAAATTGTTATATTTCTTTAGAAATAACGCTGATATTAATTTTATTAAAATATTATGTTAACTCTAAAAACTACTTTTACCTTATTTTTATTTACGTCATTTTTTCCTTTATATACCATTTTTCTTCTAAATATTTGAATTCAACTGATGATATTTTTTTAAAGACTAATATATATTCAGAACACAATCCATAATACGAAATTCGATAAATTTCGATATAAACTACTATTATAAATTAGATTTATTTTTGTATGAATAAACAGCTTAAATACTAAATTAATTTAAATGGTTTGAAAAGCATACTATTGTTAACCTGAAAGTATCAGACGATGTCCAAACTTATTGTTAGACTTCCTCAGTTAAGAATTCAAAAACTGTTTATACTTTAGACAATTAATTTTTGAGTAAACCGCCATTTATTTCAGTACTACAAAAAAATTTATGCTTTGCTATTATTTATTTTACAGACTTACTTATTATTGTAATAATAATATATATTTACATACATAATTAAATTCATATATAATTAAATTCATTTTTTAATTAACGGACCACGAATATTAAACAGTATTGAACGTTTTTGACAAGCGTATTAACCGGAAAATGGTAGAACGATTAAGGAACTATAGCAACAGCCAACTTGAGTGACTCAATCGTGATCTAAAAGACGCATTATTGGACAAACGAAAAATTAAAAAAAAAAAACGATGACGTCCATTAATACAGTCAATCCGCGGAATCAAACTCGTAAAATCGCGAGCTCTACATCTCGTTACGTCCGCGGCTATTGCGAACTACGATTACAATTACAGGCAGATGCGGAACAATGAAAAGTGATAACACGTTTCCGATGGCGATAAATTATCGCATAAATAGCGACGCGGGGAGGGGAAAGGGGGGTAGGGGAGGAGGGCGCATACGCGAAATTGCCTTTTCTGCGAAATCAACTTTTCTGCTTTGTCGCAAAAGCGATTGCTTTTAGATCGAATAGAATTTTTTTCCGCCATTGGCGACGGAGTGGGGGCGAAAAGGGGGGGAGGGGAGGGATATGCGAGTATTACTCTTAATGATCAATTTTTTTTTCGGCCGCGGCACGCGCGTAAGGCCGCGGCGCGCACGCACACGTGCGTTTGTCGTTCGCATCAAATTTGATAAATCTCGACGAGTCCGCTCGATCGGCCGGATTATTGGAACGATATTTCATAGAACGGAATAATCCGAAATGCGATTGTAGAATCGTGCAGGAATCACGCGTTGCCTATTAGCCTGACATTCTATTTCATGAATATTTTCGGTTTGAAAGTCAATCGGAACGAACCGAAAGAATAGCTTAATCGGATTGATTTAATTAGAAGCGGCGATGCCCAGATCGATTTCATTAAGAACTCGGGCCGCTAAGTGGCAAAACATTCGACTGAAATAAACGAGTAAATTTTCCAGATCGAATATACTGTAATTTGCTGTGTATTGTGCGGTGCATGTGTATGCGTGTGTGAATGAATAGAATGTCTAATTTAAAAAGTTAATTTATCCGATTCGTACAGATCTAAAAAATATCGTTCTTAACACATTTAATTACACTATAATACATAAAAAGGACGATTTTATTGAAAGTACAGACCCGAAAATAATTTTGGACCATCAAAATGATTATATAGGACGCTTAAACTGGTTGCTAAAATGTCAAAACTTTTTGCAGCATTGCTCATCGTGCTTGAGAGTTATATTATACGTAATTATTTTGATAGTCCAACAAAGTTATTTTCAGAAAATGAAATTTTATTTAAGTATGTCTTTTTAGATTTATAACGATATTAATTCCTTTTGTATAATGCCACTAATTAATAATCAATTATTAATTTAGAATTAATACCTTTTTATTAATTCAGATATTTATCCTGACATAAAATTTGCTGAGTATATTAAGTACCTAATAGAAAACAACGAATTCGCATTTAAGATTCTCAAGGAAAGTCCTTTGAACGGCGGGGACATTGATGAGAAACGAGTGCGTAGCTGTTAACATAAGCCGATAGTATTGGCCTCGTGTGCGAAGCTTACGACTGGGAACTATGCCAAACAGTTGAGGGGAACCACGCTCGGCGCGACAGTCTCGCGTTTAAGCGATGATCAAAGATCCTCGTGGAAACACTCGCGAGAATAATGGGATCTGGTCACAGCTTCCGCCCACGAAATTCCGAGTCGGAATAACGAAGCAGAAACGATTGGCGTTTCGTTTCATAAGTGAGAAAAATCTATCAAAGCTGTCCTAAAGAGACAATATAATTAAGAATAGTAGACTCACTCCGTAAAAAAATCGTTTAGAATCTATAGACGTATAATTTACGTCACATGACGTAAATTATAGATTTTCAGCGCTGACAGTGAATTTTAGAACATAGCCTTCAACAGCCAATTAAATCATTCCTTTCATGAATCTCTGATTTTCTACAACATGGCAATTGCAATATTCGCCAATCAAT